CAGAAGGGAAAACCGAGGCTCAGGAACGGAAGTGACTTTCCCAAGGGGACCACATCGTCCTGTGTCCCACCAAGGGCAGGGGACGAAGGGGACCAGCACCCTCATCTTCACACAGAATCTTCTCATCTCCAGGCAAAAGCCTTGCCCTCTGGCCCACAGCACCCACTCTCCTACAAGGCTAGCCTCCTGAGGGAGGGAGAAGGCAGCCTTTCCCCCCCTCCCCCTCCTCCTCTTCCTTCTTCTTCTTCCTCTCCACAACTGGCCTCCCCTCCTCTCCCCCAACCCCGCCCCCGTCACATCTGTTGCTTGTCGTGGCTCTGAGACTGTCATGGGTGAAGTCAAGGAAGGCCAAACGCTCAGCTTCCTGGTTATCCCAGCAAGAATTTCTTGCCAGTGAAGCAAGGCCAGGATTCATTAATTCGTTCCCTTAACCATCCGTGTACTCTTTGAAATCTTTACCAAGCAGAGGCACTAGGAATATCAAAGGCCAAAACAATACAGGAGACAAAGCATTTTATAATGACTTTTGTTTTTTAGAAACAGGGTCTCACTCTGTCACGCAGGCTGGAGTGCAGAGGTGCCATCCCGGCCCACTGCAGCCTCCACCTCCTGGGTTCGGGCAATTTTTGTGCAGCTTCTCAAGTAGCTAGGGTTACAGGTCCCCACCACCATGCCTGGCTAATTTTTGTATTTTTAGTAGAGACAGGGTTTCACCATGTTGGCCAGGCTGGTCTCGAACTCCTGACCTCAGGTGATCTGCCACACTGTTGTCACCCCCCAGCACGGTGCACAGAGTTTCTGAGGTTTCCAAGGTCACCCTGCCGGTAAGAAACAAAGCTGGCATCCCATCTCGGCTCTGCTGGGCCCCGAGCTCACATCCTTTCTGATGGGGGCCAGCTGTGGCTGAAGACCACTTCCCCTGGGGAAATCCCCAGGCCTGGGCATTGGAGGTACATTCCCCTGAGCCAACCCAGGAGTCACGGGACACTTGGGAAGCAGCTGTCCCCAGGCCCCGCTTTCCTTCTCCCAGCGGGGTCCCCGTGACACCTCCCCCTGCCAGGCCCACCCCCGACCTGCCTGCTTGTCCTGGTGCCCAGGCCCACTCCTTGGCCTCTGTCTGTGCTTCAGAGTCGCACCCTCCAGAAGGGAAGAAAAAGAAGCCTGTGAGCATTGCCAGGCTGCCTAGGGAGGGGCGGTTCCATGCAGTTGAGCGTGGATTTCTCTTTTGGCCATGACCGAGCCACAGAACTCTCCTGGGACCGGTGGCCTCACCGTCCACGCCCACCCCCCCCATGTACCTGTCCCTTCCCCAGACTCAGGGAGGCAACACCAGCCTCAGAGTCCACAGCCTCCCACACGGCCGATAAATTCTGCTCTTACTGGTTAATGAGAGACCAGCGCCACCTGGGCCTCCATCGCGTGGACGCCCACTTTGACTGGGCTGTGTGTCATCACCGCCAAATTAGGGCTGCCAGGAGCCCTGTGCAGCTGAGGGCAAGTGCAGGGTCTGGGGTGGGAAGAGTGGTGAAACAGCTCAGGAACCACGCCAAGGGATCAAATGGGTCTTTAAGTCATTATCTCAATCCCTCCTTAAAAGCCACATTGGGCGAAGTGACTTTCAATATTGTTTTAGCCCATTACCAGGCTAGAAATTAATCGCTCGCTGCACACACAGGCGGCGTCACTGTGGCCGTAATTATGCACAGGGCGGAGACTCCTGCAGAAGCCACATATTTTACACTTAAATTATAATCAAACTTAGAGGAATCTCTTCCACCCAGTGCGCACACATAATTGCACCCATCTCCGAGAGCGGTGACTCTCGTCAATGCACGTGTTTGTGGTTGGAAGATGCCGAGCCCACAGTATGGCTGTCTCTCCGTGTCTCGGTCGTAGATACACAAAGAACCCCGAATGCAGCCTCTGGAGAAGCTCCGTCGTGCGCAGATCTGTGGTTATCAAACCTAAAATCCAGAACCCACACAGCAGCCTGCACGGAAGAGATGCACAGTGAGCCTCCAGGGGCCCCGGGGCCGGGAGCCAGGGGCTGGGCACTCAGAAGCTCCTGGGGTCAGGACCCGATCGGAGGAGAGGCGGAAGCCCCGCAGCTGAGCGCGGACGATGCGGGCTCACGGGAGTCCCCGGGGCAGGCAGGACTTGGCCTGGGAAGGTCTGGAGAGTGCCCAGTCGAGTCGGGAGACCGAACACCCTGCCAGGGGACAGCACTCGCTCTTCTACCCCCACCCCCCGTGGAATCCTCCGGGTTCTTTAATTGCTCAGTCTAATTAAAAAGTAACAATGGGCCGGGTGCAGTGGCTCACGCCTGTAATCTCAGCACTTTGGGAGGCTGAGGCGAGGGGATCACGAGGCGAGGGGATCACAAGATCAGGGGATCGAGACCACCCTGGCCAATATGGTGAAACCCCGTCTTTACTAAAAATAAAAAAATTAACTGGGTATGGTGGTGCATGCCTGTAATCCTAGCTACTCGGGAGGCTGAGGCACAAGAATTGCTAGAGCTCAGGAGGTCAAGGTGGCAGTGAGCCGAGATCACACCACTGCACTCCAACCTGGGCGATAGAGTGAGAGAGACTCCATCTTAAAAAAAAAAAAAAAAAGTAACAATGCCATAAACGCCTTCTTTCAGAAACATGGAGAGGGAGGGTGGGTCTGCCCTGTGCCTTGCCATGCTCCTAGGGACGGTTTTTTTTGTTTTTGATTTTGTTTCTAAGACAGAGTCTCGCTCTGTTGCCCAGGCTGGAGTGCAGTGGCACGATCTCGGCTCACTACAACCTCCGTCTCCTGGGTTCAAGCAATTCATCGGCCTCAGCCTCCCGAATAGCTGGGACTACAGTCAGGCACCACCACTCCCAGCTAATTTTTGTGTTTTCAGTAGAGACGGGGTTTCACCATGTTGGCCAGACTGGTCTCAAATTCCCAACCTCAGGTGATGCACCCGCCTCTGCCTCCCAAAGTGCTAGGATTACAGACCTCAGCCACCGTGCCCAGCCCAGGGACAGTTTTTCGCTGTCCCTGAGGGCTCCATGAGCACCTTCCTCTGATCTCCGCAGGGAAGTCAGTAACAGCGAGTAACAGTGAGTAACCGTGAGGGTTATTGAATAGTGAGGGTGTGGTGAAGGATGATCTTCCAGACTCAGATGCCTGCCCTGCTCACACCTCTTCAGGAAAGTGTGTTTATTACCTTTTGTAGCATCGTGATCACGCCCCTTAAATCTACCTGGACTCAAGATGTTCCCTCAAGAAATCTTTTTTTTTTTGAGACAGGGTCTCACTCTTGCCCGGGCTGAAGTGCAGTGGTGCAATCACAGTTCACTGTGCCCCAAATTCCCAGGCTCAAGTGATGCTTTCGCCTCAGCCTGCTGAGTAGCTGGGATCACAGGTGTGCGCCGCCACACCTGGCTAATTTTAAAATTTTTTGTAGACACAGGATTTTTCTATGTTGCCCAGGCTGGTCTTTCACTCCTGGGCTCAAGCAATCTACCTGCCTTGACCTTTCAAAGTGTTGGGATTACAGGCGTGACCCACCGCTCCTGGCCAAAACATCATTATTATTTGAAAAGTTGGTACTTACTTACCTTGACCTGCATCTTCACCTGTGACGTGGCTTTTCACTGTTTCCTGTGCACCCACGTTTCTATCTAGGATTATTTCTTCTCTGCCTGGAGAACCCCTTTAGTATTTTTTTCTGTTTGGTTTTGAGACAGAGTCTCACTCTGTCGCCAGGCTGGAGAGCAATGGTGTGATCTCAGCTTACTGCAACCACCTCCCGGGTTCAAGCGATTCTCCTGCTTCAGCATCCCAAACAGCTGGGATTACAGGCACGCACCACCACACCTGACTAGTATTTTGTATTTTTAGCAGAGATGAGGTTTCGTCGTGTCAGCCAGGATAGTCTCCATGTCCTGACCTCGTTATCCGCCCACCTCGTCCTCCCAAAGTACCGGAATTACAGGTGCAAACCCCCGCACCCAGCCTGAGCTACCACAACTGGCCAGTATTTCTTATAGTTTAGCTCTAATTGATTGTCTTGGTTTTTATTTTTCTGGGAAAGTATTTTGCTTTCACTTCTCATCTAGGGCTAAAGGTCTTCACATGGCCAGTCATTAGTATTTACTGAGCAGCTAACAACTTTACATGTTACTGCTCGTCAACCCGTATGAGACAGATGAGATGGGTGCTGTTCCTGGCCCCGTTTCTCCCTGTGGAATCTGAGGCTCAGCGTGGTTCAGTAACTTGTCCTAGGTCACAAAGCGTATTCGTGAGTGTTCTCCAGAGACACAGGGCAAATGGAAGACAGATGTTCACATCGCTCTCTATGTATATTTCTACCTATCTGTAAAATAAGGAAGTGCTCACGTGACCCTGGAGGCTGACAAGTCCCAGCATCTGCACCGGCAAAGCGGAGACCCAGGAGTGCGGATGGCGTGAGCGTCACTTCAAGGAGGGGGACACCCGCCATCCCAGCTCCACAGTCAGAGCCACTCTGTCCTACCCAGCCTCGGTCTCCTCAGGCCCCCAGTGGACTGGATGAGGCCCACTCACACTGGGAGGAAAATCGGCTTCACGCAGCTCACCATTCAGATGTTAATTTCATCCAGAATGATGTTCGGCCAAATGTCTGGGCACCCTGTAGCCCATTCAGGGGGACACAGAAGATTTTGTTTTTTGAGATGGAGTCTCACTCTGTCACCCAGGCTGGAGGGCAGTGGCACGATCTCGGCTCACCGCAACCTCCACCTCCTGGGTTCAAGCGATTCTCCTGCCTCAGCCTCCCGAGTAGCTGGGACTAAAGGCAAGCACCATGATGTCCAGCTAATATTTGTATCTTTAGTAGAGATGGGGTTTCTCCATATTGGTCAGGCTGATCTTTAACTCCTGACCTCAGGTGATCCACCCGCCTCAGCCTCCCAAAGTACTGGGATTACTGGTGTGAGCCACTGCACGCAGCCCGATTGACACATAAGATTAATCATCGCTCGAAGTTACTGAGAGGCAGAGCTGGGGTTCAAAGGTGGCAGTTCAGGCTGTGCCCCACATTCGGCTTCACGGCTCGCCAGCTGTCTCTATCCACTGTGTGTGCACCTGCCGCACGTCCCAGGGGCCGTGGAGCCGCACAACTCGTGTTTCCATTGCCTAGAATTCCCCAGCTCCGGATGGAGATGGACACATCTGAAGCTCTGATCTGAGATGAGTCTCCTTCGCATCCGAAGGCGCTCCTTCCCCTCTGGGCCTAGAACTCTAGAACCACACAGCTATTTTCTTCCCGCACTGTAAACACGCCCCTCCCTTGCCTTCTGGATCCCGTCACTTCCGCTGAGAAATAATCTTATGGCCCCCTTGAAGGTAATTTGTCTATTTGTCTTTACCTCTAGCTACTTCTAAGATTTCTGTCTTTGGTTTACAGCAGTTTTGCCATAATACGCCTAGAGGGGCTCTCCCTGTCCCTAGCCTGCTTGGCATGTGTCAGTCTTCTATCCAGGGTCTGTTTTCTTTCATCGATTTTGGAAAATCCTCAGCCATTGTATCTTCAAACATTGCTTTTTCCCTATCCTCTCTCCCTCATTCCCTTTCTCTCTCCTTCCTCCAGTTCCAACCACCTGCGTGATGGGGCTGCTCCCCAGACCCGTGTGTATGGCGTGCTCTGTTTCTCATCCTTTTTTTGCTCACTGTGTTCCATCATAGTTTTTTTTTTCCCTGACTTATCGTTCTACTCTATTAAAACCCTATTTCCCAGCCTGCTGTTAAGCCTATCTATTAAGTTTCTAATTTTAATCATTACATTTTTCTAGAATTTCCATTTTGTCATGGATTCCAGTTGTCTGGTGAAATTCTCTGTTTTATCATCCACTTGCCTGAATAATGATTTGAAAGCCCATCTGTGATGCTACCAATAGCTGAGCAGTCCGAGGGGCTGTTGCTGGCATTTATTTTTCTCTTGGTCCTGTTTCTTGGTATTCCCTGACATCTGTGAAACCCTGGCGCTACCTCTGGTTCCCTTCCATAGTGATGAAGCTTGCAGGCATCCCGGCTGAGAGCCTGGAGTGTCTTCCGGAGCTTCTCCTCCTTGGCAAGTCCTAAGCTCTAAATCTGGTCTCTCCAGCACCCTACAACTCCTGACACCTCAAAAGCTTTCTCCTGGGCTTCTTAGCTTCTTGCTCTGCACATCTTCATCCACCAAATGGCTAGAATGGAAACCTCTGAGCATCAGACTCACTTATTTCCACCTCCCTCCTCCCCAGAATCTTCACCACTCAATTTTTGGCTGCCTTGACAGATCCAAACCCCAGTTTCAGCCCCGTGGAGCTCCACTGGCTTCCCTGCCTCCTCACGGGTATTTATGGCCTCTGGTCTTGGCAAAGCCCCCGAATGAAAAGCGAGTGCCAGCGCTGGCTCCTCTCTCCCCAGCTCCCCCTTTGCTGAGCTCTCAGCCCTTCCAGTCCGGACTGGCTCAGCTGCTCACCAGTGTCTTCAAAAAGAGCATTTGTATTTTACCCAGCTTGTCTACATATTGATCTATGCCAGCTACTCCATAACAGCCAGAAGCAATAGTCATTAAGTGGTATTTTATTAACTATATTTGGATCATACGTATATACACATGTACACTATGTTCAGAACTACGGAGTCCAAATGCAGGACATTTTTACCCAATTATTTTATTTGTAAAGGCATCCCAGAGGTAATCAACACGTGAGACTGGAGTGTGGAAGTGATGCTCATCTAACTTCTATATTCCTCTCTCTCTCTTTCTCTCTCTCTCTCTCTCACTCTCTCTCTGTTTTTCTTTTTTTTTTTTTTTTTTTTTTTGACAGTCTCACTCTGTCACCCAGGCTGGAGTGCACTGGCATGATCTTGGCTCACTGCAACCTCCACCTCCCAGGTTCCAGTGATTCTCCTGCCTCAGCCTCCTGAGTAGCTGAGATTACAGGAACACGCCACCACCATGCCTGGCTAATTTTATGTATTTTTAGCAGAGATGGGGTTTTGCCATGTTAGCCAGGCTGCTCTCAAACTCCTGACCTCAAGTGATCTGCCCGCCTCAGCACCCCAAAGTGCTGGGATTACAGGTGTGAGCTACCACGCCCAGCCTTTATTTCTGATGATAACAAAATAGCAGCGACGGTCGGCATGGTCCACGCATCAGCCAGCGCGCGCTGGGCATTCCACAGCTCTCCTCTCTCCCTCACAGCAAGTCCAGGAGGAGGGTCGAGGAGGCCCTGCTGGGAAGTGACACTCAGGATTTGAACCCTGGCATGCCCGAATCCCTGAGCTGCTGCATCCTCCTGGCTCCCTGCAGGAAGATTTCTCCCATGCTGTTTATTTTCAGGATGGGCGCCCTGAAACACAAGGGACCAGGCCCCCACCACATGCGAGGAAGGTGCAGGAAGGAGCAGCACAGAGCCCTGAGCCACAGAGACACTGCAGTCTGGACCAGCAGTGATCGGACAGGTGTGTGCTCTCAGCACTCGACATGTGAAAGCAAGACCCAGCCCTCCTCGGGCCCCCACTATGAACCCGATTACTTCAGCCTGGCTGCCTTCCTTCAAAGGGGGTACAGGCGGGGCCCACGGGACCCCAGTTCTCTAGCCTCACCTGGCCCTGGCTGCTGATGTTGCTCTGATCTCTGGGTGGAAATGACTCAAGAGGCAATGAAGAGAAGACTTAATTGGGCTGCAGGGAGTCCTCAAGTCTCTTGAGATCACGCACTAAGTATTTCCATGTGTGCGTTTTTCCAGGAAGACAGCCTGGGGCTTTCAGCACATCCCACAGTGGTCCATGATCAAGACAATAGCCTCTTTAGACTAGAGGAGGCAGGAGCCCAGATTCCAATCCCTCTTCCACTGCTCCCTGGCTGTGTGATCTTGATTTGTCCTTTCCCTCTCTGAGCCCCAATTCTGCCTCTTTTCTGCAAGGTCCTTGATCGCTGGGGATGCCAGTTCTCTGTCTGCCGGAGCCCAGCTCCCTCTGCCTTCTCCCTGCCGTGCTCAGCATCGTGGGCCCTGGCCCAGCAAAGCTCATTTCCAGGTTTTGCTTGTGTTCTGTCCCTGAGAGGCTCTGGCCAGGGCTGGGAGGGTGGGAGGAGGAAGAGGCCAGTGTCCGCCCTCATCTCTGCTCCAGGCAGCACCTCTGGCAGGGTGGCCTCTGCATTTCAGCTCCTCCAGGCGGCCCCCTTCTTCCATGGGGCCCCCAAGGCATGGGAATCGCACCCTCCCATACACCCCTTTCTGGACCCACTGCATATTAACCTCCCTGTGGAGCCGCCTGGCCTGGGCTCTGGAGCCTGAGCCCTCGCTGATAACGAGGTGATGGCCAAGAGCCTTGAACACCAATACTGTCACCCAGGGCTGCCCAGTGAGTTCCCAGCAGGGCAGCATTCCCCCTGTGCTTGCCCTGGAACCCCTTTTTGGTCGACAAGTTGTATGTTTTCAGAATGGTTTGAGATTTACAGCCAAACAGAGAAGACAGCCCAGAGGGCGTCCGCATCCCCTCCACCCACCACCTCCCGCCATCCGCATGGGGCCCCGTCCTGGCCGTCAGCCAGCGTGGTGCATCACGGTGACCCGAAATTCACTTTATGCAGATTTCCTTCGTTAGCGAGTGTCCCCTTTCTGTCCAGGACCCCATTCCAGACACCACGTGACCCCTTGCCTCCCTGGGCTCCTCCTGGTTGCGACAGTTTCCCAGCCTTTCCTCATCTTGCGTATTCTTCTTCTTTCTTTCTTTTTTTGAGATGAAGTCTTGCTCTGTCCCCGAGGCCGGAGTGAAGTAGCGTGAACTTGGCTCACTGCAACCTCCACCTCCTGCGTTCAAGCAATTCTTGTGCCTCAGCCCCCTAAGTAGCTGGGACTACAGGCGCATGCCACCACACCCAGGTAATTTGTGTGTGTGTGTGTGTGTATGTGTATGTGTGCGTTTGTGTGTGTTTTTAGTAGAGACAGGGTTTTCCTATGTTGGCCAAGCTGGTCTCGAACTCCTGACCTCAGGTGATCCACCCGCCTCGAACCCCCAATTTTTTCACCTTTGGTGCCTGGCAGTTTTGAGCAGCACTGCTCAGGTGTTAAAGGGCACCCCTGGGTGGCTCTGTCAGCCACAAGCCTCATAGTTGGGCTGGGCGATGGGTGGTGGGCTTGGGAGGAAGAGCATGGGCAACACGCCTCCCCCCGCACACGTCAGGGACACGGAGTCAGCGGGAGCACCGCAGGCGGCGTTGGCCTTGACTGAGGCTGAGGTGTCCCTGTCGGGCCTCTCCACTGCGGAGCCGCTTCCTCCTCGGGAAGCCTGGGCCCCTTGCTGGGGAGCCCCTTCTGGACCCGTGTGCTGGGAAGTGCTGCGCCAGCTGCAGCCTGGCACACAGCAGGTGCCTAATTCGCCCTCTCTGAATTGAACGGAGCGAGGCTGTGGCCTCGTTAGGAAGGACGTTCTCCCTGCACCCAGCTCCCTCCTGGCTCATGGTCTCATTAAGCCCCGATGCTCCCTCGGGCCAGCGCTCCTCTGCTCAGCTCACTCCCGACGTGAGGACTTCCCGCCAGGCCCTGCTGGCTCCAGCTTCTGCCCACCCAGAAGGGGCACACTGGGGAGCTGAGGCCCCCCGCGAGGGCTCCCAGCCAGAAGGCATCCGGCTCCCCCACCAGTGTCCTTTCTACCCACCACAGAAGCATCAAAAGCACACGGCACAGACAAGTCTACCCACGGCTCTGCCGCCTCCTCCCCGCCACACCCGGCATGTCTAGCAGGTGCTTCCCCAAGGCTCCCAGCCCTCAGAGCACGGATGGGCCCCTGTGCTCCTCAGACTCTACGGGGTCGCTTGAGCCTGGTACACCTGGAGCCCAGGAGGAAGGCCACGGGTGCAGGGGGCAGAGCCTGGGCCACCAGCCCAGAGGGGGACACGGGGAAGTCAACTCCAGGGTGAGGAGGTCTCTCCCGGGTGGGAAGGGCGGGGAACCATTGCTGTCCCAGGCAGGACCCTGAGCTCCCCACACCGGCTCCCCTCACCCCACAGAAAGGATTCCTCTCAGTTTTGCAAGGAAGAAATGGAGGCAACGGGGTGAGGACATTTCCCCAGGCAGTATAACCGGGAAGAGAGAGTAGGCTGCGCCCCGGAGGCCTGGCACCTGAAGCCTTTCCCACTGCTCTGCCTGGAAGCAGGAAGCCCCCTGGACTTTGGTTTCCCTCCGTGGCCTGGCGTGTGAGCCCTCGAGGGAGGGACAAGCCCGCCTGGAGCCTCGAGCCACAGCCAACCCTGCAAACCCTCTCTACCCGCCATGGGCGAGCCTCTGTCACTCCGAGATGGGACAGGCCTGGCTCAGGCCAGCCGGGTGTAGTGGAGACGCTCACCAAGCACACGCCCCTCAGGGGACGCAGCAGCAAGGCAACATGGTCAGGATGGAGAACCGAGCACACCTCTCCCTGGGATTCCAGGTCAGGTCCAAGGGAGCAGGGGCTGGACGTGCCCAGTCACAAGACTGGCAGAAAGGAGGTAAGGGCCCGGCCCAGGCGCTCCCCACCTTAGTGGGGCTGCACCCCTGCTCTTCAGGCCAGAAGGGGCTCCCACTGGGGGCAGGGTGTGTGGGGGGGTCTTCCTAAACTGTACTTTTATTTCACAAGCCTCAGGGGCTCTTTGAGGCCACGGGGGGGACATTTGTTCACAGGCAGCAGCCAGCCTCACCCAGGAGTGGCGAGGAGAGGCAGGGCAGGGGCGAAGGAGGGGCCCGGTCAGCGGGAGGGGACAGCAGGTGGTCCCCACAGACACCCCAGCAATGCCACTACCATGTCACTCTCCCGAGGCTCTCCATCGCCCTCGGAGAGAGTGTCGATTCTTTCTTTTTTTTTTCTGTTTAGAGCGGATCTTGCTCCATGACCCAAGCAGGAGTGCAGTGGCACAGTCACAGCTTACTGCAGCCTCGAACTCCCGCGCTCAGGTGATTCTCCTGCCTCGAGCTCCCAAAGCATGAGGATTCCAGATGTGATCCACTACGCCCAGCTAAATTTTTTTTTTCTTGTAGAGATGGGGGTCTGGCTGTGTTGCCCAGGTTGGTCTGGAATTCTTGGGCTCAAGTGATCCTCCCTCACCCAGCCAAGGGACCAGATTCTGGGCCTGGCCCGGTGGCTCATGCCTGTAATCCCAGCACTTTGGGAGGCCAAGGCAGATGGATCAACTGAGGTCAGTAGTTTGAGACCAGCCTGGCCAACATGGCAAAACCCAGTCTCTACTAAAATATAAAAATTAACCCAGCATGGTGGCACGTGCCTGTAATCCCAGCTACTCCAGAGGCTGAGGCAGGAGAATCACTTGAACGCAGGAGGTGGAGATGGCAGAAAGCCAAGATCATGCCACTGCACTCCAGCCTGGGTGACAGAGCCTTGAACACTAATACTGTCACCCAGGGCTGCCCGGTGAGTTTTGAGACAGAGTAAGACTCTGTCTCAAAAAAAAAGAGGAGAAAGAGCAGATTCTTCAGTGTGGCCCAGGACTTGCCAGCTGGCCCATCCCCCTCACCCGTGCCTTCTGCCAGGGTGGGTCTGGGAGGTCAGGCAGTCCTGATTCCTGCCTGGGTCACCCCAAGCTCTCTACCACTTTGATGATGATGCCTACTGCAAACTTTCTGAAAATTAACTCCCTTCAGAACAGGGACTGTGCCTTGTTCTGTCTGTTTCACCGTTCCCTGGCTCAGGAGTGGCTCCGGTGGGCACTTACTGCATGGTGACTGCATTTAACTGGTGCCCGCTGGACCCACTCTGTGCTGGGCTAAAAGACAAGAATCGGGAGCCAGGGAATGGAGTCCTCCCTTGGCCCCTGCTTCCCAGCCTGAGAAACGGTCCCATCAGGCACGCTCACCACTGTGGCTAAAAAGAAGTGCCCCGATCTCCGTCCAAACCACGTCTCACTTGGTCCCCACCTCAGCCCCAGGGTGCAGCTGGAATTGTTACCTCACGGGGAAACTGAGGCTGGGAGGTGCCCCCCCCCCAATAGTCGGTAGGCCGGGTTTGTCTGGCTCAGTGCCCCGATCTCCGTCCAAACCACGTCTCACTTGGTCCCCACCTCAGCCCTAGGGTGCAGCTGGAATTGATACCTCATGGGGAAACTGAGGCTGGGAGGCACCCCCCCCCCAATAGTCGGTAGGCCAGGCTTGTCTGGCTCAGAGCCAGGCTCGTGGCAGTGACTGTGGTGAGGAAATGGTGCCTTTGGGATGCAGGAGGCTCAGGGACCAGGCACCTCCAGGAAGACCCAGAACTGTAGGCTTCCTTGTCCTTGACATGATTTCACATGTGGTCTCTGGGGCTCTGGGTTAGACCTCAGGGTGGTCAGTAGCCCTAGCCTCGTCCAAGGGGGCCTGACGATCGGCCGTCACGTGCCCACCCCGGGAGTGGCCGAGTTCAGGTCAGGGGCGCCTGGGACTGAATGGCAGAGAGGGGCAGATGTCGGGGAGAAGGCAGGTGCCCGATCTGATTGGGGGCTCCTCCAGCGGCGGTGGTGCCGTCAGACCCTGGGTCAGCCCTCGCCTCTCCCACCATGGAGCAGGGCTATTCCCCTAGGGTCCAAGTCACACCCCAGTCCCTTTCCCCTCCTGGGGCCCCTAAATTCTAGGCAGGGTTCCACTGGCCACTGTCAGTCAGGGACGCTGGACCCGATGGGGTCAGAGGAGTCAAAACCAGGAAGGGCCTGAGGCAGTCACTCACAGAGACCACGCCCACCCCACCACGGCGGCAGAGGACCCTGGGCAGGCCCCTTAGCCTTCTTAGGAGGGAGGCAGCTGCCAGTCCAATCAACAGGGGTCTCCTCCCTTCGGGCTCCACTCAGGGGACCCAGGCTCTCTGAAAGATTACCCAACACACAGACGCACGTGTGGCTGGGCTGCTGCCCACTTCTTCTACAGCATCAGAGACTGGAATGCCAGCTGCTGTGGGGACACCAGCCCTCGAGGCCCACGGCAGAATGGACACCTCCCTGCCACTCACTAGCCCGGATGCTGTGGGCAGAGGCCTGTGGGCCTACGGGGCCTGGAGGTCTTGACGATGCCCACTGCCCACTACAGAGCAGCCCCTAGTGACGGGCGCTTCGCTCTTGCCCTGCAGAATGTAGGAGGCAAGAGGGGCGTGGACTCAGCTCCTCCTCCCTGGAAACCGTTCCAGGGGACTCACGAAGGGAACGGCCTCCCTCCCACCATGGTGATGCCCTCCAGCTCCCCACACAGGGTGGTCCCAGCTCCATCCTCCAGGAGCCCCCCCATGCCTTTTCCTGAACAGAACTCTCGGAAACAGCAGTGTGTTCATGGTGGAGCCGATCCCTGTGTCTGTGCTGGAGTCACTGTGCCTCGGTTTCCCCATCTGTGACCCAGCCCAGACCAACAAAGACAGACGCACCACAGGCACCAAAGTCTCCCAGGCATTGGTCTGGGTTTGGGCCAAGGAGGAGTCAAAAGAGGCGGTTCAATCACAAGATCAGGAGTTCGAGACCAGCCTGGCCAACATAGTGAAACCCTGTCTCTAATAAAAATACAAATAAAGTTGCCGGGTGTGGTGGCAGGCGCCTGTAATTCCAGCTACTTGGGAGGCTGAGGCAGGAGAATCTCTTGAACCCGGGAGGTGGAGGTTGCAGTGAGCTGAGATTGCACCATTGCTCTCCAGCCTGGGCAACAATGTGAGACTCCGTCTCAAACAAAAAAAAAGTCCTGTGGGCAGTCACTGCCAGGTGCATTCAATGGCCCCCTCCTGCTCTAAGGCCCCAGAGTGGCAGCACAGAGCCTGTGCTCCCAGTCCCCACCCTGCCCCCTGCCTGCCCTCCACTGGGGCATTAGGGTAGAGAGAGGCCTTGCATGCAATCCGGAGGCCACTTGAACCCAGAGGTCAGCTTCAAGGCAGATGGCCGATGGCTGCTGGTCCTTTAGATTTTTCTTCCAGCAAAATTCACAGCTTCCTGTTCCTCCGATAAAAGCCCCAGGAGACCCACCAGGACTGGGCAGAGCCCCGGCAGAGGAAGGAGTTCTGAGCGAACAAATCGGAACCACGAGGACATGTCCCTGCAGTCTCTGCAGGGTAGGAACGTTCACGGGGAGTGTGTTTCCAGCTCCCCACAAGGCTCCCCGGAGCCCCAGCATGTCCTGGGGATGCCGCAGCCCCTGGGCAGAGCCCGGGGGAAAGGGAGCGGCTGAGTTGGCACAAGCACCTTTGGCGCAGGCCCCGCTGCATGAATCATCTAGCGGCAGCCCCGGAGCCCACGGCTTGAAGCCAAACCCAGGGCGCTGCAGCTGGGAGCCCTCTCTCATGAGCTACCCCTGCCAGCCCTTCCTGGCCTTGCTTTATCTGCCTGTCCAGTGGGCACAACCGCCTTGCTGGGACAGGCATGTGTGCCCAGGAGGAAGGGCTCAGTCGCTGGTCCCCACCAGCAGCTCCGTCCTAATGGCCTCTGACTCCTATCAACTCACCACAAACCGGCTTCCTCCACCTCAGTGACTCTGTGACTTGGAAACAAAATCAATGTGAAACTGCCTCTGTTGGCATTGCACAGAGCACTGCCCCCAAACCCGCTCCGGGCGCCCCACCCTCACACCTCCTCCTGTACCCGCCGGGCAGCGCCAAGGCCAGCTGGAAATCGAATCGCTCCCCGGACCAGGCCCAGACGGCCACATTGCTCTCAAGCCAGGGCCACTGGCCCAGGGCCAGGAGCAGACTCGGCGGGAGGGGCGGGGGGTCCTGAGCACCAGGTGGGGTCGGGATAGAGGAGGCGGTGGGAGGGAGGGGTGAGGCTTCACTGGGTGGGGGGTTGTGGGGAGAACAGGGCTACGGTTCCGGGGCATTGTGTAGCCAGGAAAAGGGAGGCAGCAAAGCCACAGCCACGACAGGGTGGATCTTCCACAGCGCCCCATCCTTTGGGGCTCACGGGCAGTCCCTGACCCCCAGCCCAGACCTGGGCACAGCGGAGGGCGGCAGGGCCGTGGAAGGAGAGGCTGCAAAGAGGAAAATTACAGCCCAGGATCAGGAGCCTCAGTCCCAGGGCACTGCCATGGAAACCGAAATCAACAGACACATTGACGGGGTGCGGGGGCGTGAAAGGCCTCTGAGATGGGCCCTGCGTGACCCCAGACACTGGGAAAGTGGACACCCACCTCAGCTATAGCAGTGCCAGCCACAAGACACTGGGCACCAAGGGCCCAGCAATCAGACAGCCTCTGCCTGGCCCAGGACACCCTGGGCTAAGGCCTGGGTCCCTAGGGCTCTCAGCTCTCGGGGACAGGGAGTCAAAGCACAGCCTGAGGGCACCTCCGGGACTCCACAGTGGCTACTGGCAGGGGGAGGGCCAGCCCCTGTGTCAGGAGAGACCCTAGGAGGCTTCCAGGGGGAGGCGATGTCTGAGCTGCACTTGGAGAAGGCGGGTGTGCTGGGCAGGAAAGGGAGGAGGGGCACCAGCAGACACAGGTGTGTGTGTGTGCCAGGGTGCAGAGGGGTGGGCACGGGGCCAAAGGCACAGTGGGAAGAGGAGTGATGTGGGGTCTCCCAGGGCCTCATCCTCTGGAGGACCATGCAGAGGCATGGGAGGCTATGCAGTCTTAAGTGGCATGATCAGATTCGTGTTCTAGAAGGATCCTTCTGGCTGTGGTGTAGGGAAGGGCAAGAGGAGAGGAAGCCAGAGGCGAGAGGGTGCCAGGAGTCGACCTGTCATCCAGGGAGAGCCGAGGAGGACAGGGAGGGCACTGGGAGGACGGGGAGGGGACTTGGGGCCTAAGGAAGAGTCAGCACTTCTCCTGACACATCCTCCCCAGCTGGGCCAGAGGGGACGGACCAAGCCCCTCTCTAGTAGCCCGCGCCGCCCGGCTCTGGAAGGCTCCACTCCTCAAGAAGTGTGTGTCGGGGGTGAAGCCTCCTGTTCTTCCGATTTGCCCCTGGCCTCAAAGGAATCGACGTGCTTGCTCCAGACCTCAGCCTCCTGACCAGCGTCTGACAGTCACCTTCAGGCCACCGGGCAGGCCTCCGTTCCGTTTCCAGCGGGGAAGCCTGAGCTCGGGCGGCAGTCACCGGCCCAGGCCTGGCTCAAAGGCGTGTGCTCCACCGTGCCGAGCTGTGCCGTGACCCACAGCCATGTGGCCCCAGGAAGCTGCAGCCCGGGGGAAGGGGACCCTGGCCCGTAAGCACCACTGAGGGCTTCATTCCCAACAGACTCTGCTGGTGGTGTACCCTCAGCGCCCCCGGGTGTCCCGCCTGAAGGACCAACCCTGAGGTCCACATGATCGGGCCCTGGAGGCGGGCAGGGCGGCTCCTGCTCTCAGGACAGGCGGGGAGCCCGGCCACACTCTCCAGGAGGAGGCAGGAGGGCCTCTGCCTATGTGTGAGCGGCTGGTTGTGAACGACAGGGCAGATCCAATGCCTGGGCACAATGGAGGTCCCAGAGGAAGGATGCCCTCTCCACTCCTCAGGAAGTCAGGCCAGCCTGGCTGCAGCCAGGGAGCTGGAAGCTGGGCTCAGCTCAGACCCTGGCTCATATCTGGGGGCAAAGAGAGGGACTTGCGGTGTGCTGGAGCCACCTCGCCTGCCTGGGTCCCGGTGGCCGCACCTGACCCACAGGGACTTTCTAGAAGAGAAAATGCACGGGAGGTGGGGAGAGGGAGGGCTCCCGACGGGTGGTGGCAGGCGGGGGACGTGGGCTCTTTCGAAACCATTGAGGCTGGAAGTGCCAGGAGCACGGGCGGAGTCACACAGCCCCACCCCAGAGGAGAGTCTGGAGGCCCTGGAGACCAACGAGCCCGTCCCGCTGAGGAGCGGGCGACACCGCAGTGGGGGCCACAGAGGTGGGGGGGAGCCAGGGCAGCTGCCAGGGTGGGCTTCGGCCGGCGCCCTGTGGCGGTGAGGACGGTGGGCTTGGGGCCCTCCCCGATTCCAGGAACTAGTTCTCTGCCCCCTCCGGTGTCTGGGTCCCCCGGTGTCCCCGCCTGGGCTGAAGGAGGTTAACGAGATGCCGACACCTGGACCGCTTACTTTCTACTTAAGCAACTCTGGAAGAGCGAAGTCTGCCTCCAACCCGAGGCGGAGCACCAGGACGCGGGAGGCGGCCACGGGCAGGGGCAGGCGGCCATGGGGGCAGGCTGTGCCCTGCTTCCCGGGCACCAATCGGCAGGGAGCAGGGCCAGAGCCAGCATGGGTCACCTCCCATTTCACAGAGTGGGTCGGGGTGAAAGACCCAGGAGCCCAGACGGGGCAGAACCCACCAAAGGCCTCACAGTGGCCAGGTGGCCAGGCGGGGCCCAAAGCTGGTCTACCAACAGCCTTTCCGGCTCTCATCTGGTAAAGAGGTCCAGGGGTCCCTGAGTAGCCCCGGGAGGGCCAGAACACAGTGACCACTGTGAATCTGCTCACCACAGCCAGGCTCTGTGGCTTCAGGGATCCTCAGCCCCACAGAGCCTCCTCCCCTGCCCACAGCTTGGGCCCTCAGCAGCCCTACTCGCAACTGCTCTAAGCAAGAACCCCAGGAGGAATCTGGCCTACGTCTCCCTCAGACTACATGCTCTTCTAGGCCTGAAGTTAAGGACCCTCTGATAAATAATATCATAAAAGACTTCTCTCCTGAACAGAGAGAGCCCCTCTCTAGCCACATTTCCCTTTTTGCCCTGGCTGTCAGGAAGCTCAACATTGCACTGAAGGCCGACCACATGGTCACACTGCTTGCTTCCTCACCTAATCCTGCCCTCGGGGTTCGCTCTGCTTTTCCATCTCCTGTGTGTCTTCCTGGGACATGTGTGTTTCCCTGGCCAACCTCCTTAGACTCTGGAGGACCGAGGTCGATTCAACATTCATTTACTTAGTATCAGCTGCAGTGGAGCTGCATCTACCAGGCTGGTGTCCAAATGGGCCATGAGCTCGGGAGGCAGCAGGGTCTGGGGCAAGGAGGGGGTGAGGGAAAGGTCTGGGCTCTTAGTGGCATTGCTGGTGGGGAGCACCAGATGTCCAGACAGTCCATTGTCAAGGCTGGAAACTGGAGGGGGCTAGGGGGTCGCCGGGCAGGGGAAGGGGGCTCCAGGAAGAGGCCACATAAGACAGCAACCAAGACAAAAGTCACTTCTCCAAATTACCAACAGCCCCAGGGGAGGGCAGGGGCAGAACTGGGCCTGGGAGGGGCAGCCTCTCCCCACCTGGCACCTCTGCCTTCCCCAGAAACCAGGACCCCCAGCGCACGGGGTCAGGCAGCCAGGCCCAGCCCCTTGGATGCTCCCTCCACCACCTCCGCTGAGGCCCTGCTGCCGTCCAGACCTTGTGCTGGCCCTGGGGACGGGGCGGGGGTCAGCTGGACCTTGCCAATTGGGGGTCACCTGGGGAGCGGCAGGGGGTTTGCCTCATGGGCCCCGTGTGCAGGAGCCTCTCACGCAGCCCAGGCCTTCAGCAGATGGGAACAGAAAAGAGGGCCCCACTGCCCCCACAACCCCGGCCCTGCTTCAGGGAGTGACCAAGCAGAGGGTGCCGGGCAGGGCGACCTTGCCAAATCCAGGTTAC